CTGTTGCTAAACTTAATGAAATGTTTCTTAACGTCAACAAACAGCTCGTTATTCATCCATCCACTTGGATTTGCCAAACCCAGTGTGCCAGGTGGAGCTCCTTGTATCATATGCTCCTTATAATATTTCCTTGGAAAAACCATAACAGGAGGCAGAAACGTACCATTCGCACATACAATTATACATGTAGTAATAATAATACCCATTTCACCGCTAGTACAACTATTCAGCTGTTTTATACCTTCCTCCGCCACGACTTTCTTAGGTTTCTGAACTGTTGTTCTACTAGTCTCATCAAGGTTATTATATCCTGATATTAGACACAGGTAATTGATATCTAGAATAAACGGCATGTAAATTGACGCAGATTTTGTTAACATTGTGTGGATTAAATGATGTTAATCTTGATAAACTGCAACCCTCTGGTTGACGTATACTGAGGTTCCCACGCCTATTTAAAAATGAACGGAACCATTGGAGTCCAGCTATTTTACCTTTGATCTAATTCGTTGGAACAAGAATATTGTTTCTAATTGCCATATCATATGCTACCTTTCGTGCTTGAATGGTTGTTAATCCGTAGCTCATTTTGTTACAAGTTTTGATATAGTCACACAGAGAAATTTCCTGTTCCTCTGTAAACACACGTCGTACAGTATAATTGGGTTCCATTCGATCATCATCTGGATTAGTATGTTTTTTTGCGACATATCTTTGTAATGTCTGAAATTTTACTCCGTGTTCAACGGCAGCAATTCTTAATGATTTTCCGTCCAAAACATCTTGTACGGCACTTGTCATATCATTGGAGCTGAATGTCGCTCGACTCCTTGGTTTTTCTTTGCGCACCATGTCTGTAACAAACATAATAAACTTTCATTCTACTTATACAACATATCATCATGACTATTTGAGGTTAGACTAACATAACTGTGGTATTTCACGCATACACTTGCAAATTGATACAAATCAACAATTAGTTCTAATAATAAGTCAACAAAACTATATAAAAAGTAACTTCTTACCTTAATTAAACAGTTTATCACTGTAACTTTTACGAGGTCACGAATAAAATGGTGGTATTTTGATTGGCCCTGTAAAATGACATTTCTGAGATAATGTTCGTTGCAGAATTGAAACTTGGCGGTAAATTAAAAAAAATTTAGAATGTCTTATTGTGTACCATGTCTCCTTGTGTACTACTCTCCCCTATAACATAAGAATATTTTTAAACGATACAAAATTAACTTATTGCAAGAATTAAGTGAAGATGACTTCCATCGTAGATTAGAGTTTACTGAGGTAATGATAGCAAAATGGAAAAGGATAAAAATTTCGTTAACAGAATATGTTTTTCCGATGAAGCAACCTTTACACTGTGTGGAAGTGTAAATCGACACAATTTAAGGTACTAAGGTGTCGTAAATCCACACTGGATGCGTGAAAACCAAACTCAAAGACCACAAAAATTAAATGTATTGTCAGGTATAGTAGGTACTCAGTTAATTGGGCCATTTTTTATAAAAGGAAATTTAACTTCAAATAGTTACGAAATGTTACTTAGAAATGAAATTGTACCTACACTGATAAACTTGATTGATGCCAATTTTAATTCTTCTTCTTCCACTCCTATCGGAGATTGAAGTGGCAAATCATTCTGGCAATTATAATTTTATTGCATCCAAACCATTCACGGAGATTGCGTAGCCACGAGATTTTACGTCTTCCTACGCTTCTTCTACCTTTGATTTTACCCTGCATTATATTCCTTAGTAGTTCGTACTTTTCACCTCTCATTATGTGCCCCAAGTATTCCAATTTCCTGATTTTTATGGAATTTAAAACTTTTGCAAAACAACGCATTGTTTTTCTAGTTGTTCGAGAACTTGTTGTTTGTTTTGCGATCCATCCATGATATTTTCAAAATACGTCGGTAACACCAGATTTCGAATGCTTCTAGGTTTTTAATGTTGGATTTTTTAAGTGTCCAAGCTTCAACTCCATACAAAAGTGTAGAGAAAATATAACATCGAAACATTCTTATCCGGAGTTATATATTGATATCGCGATTACAAAAAAGTTTTCTCATTCCATTAAAAGTTGACCGCGAAATTTTAATGCGGCATCTTATTTCTTTTGTCTGATCAGTATTTTCTGTGATCCATGCTCCAAGGTATTTGTACGAAGATATTTGTTCAATTTCTGTATTATCTAGTACTAGCTTAACTTTGATGTTTTGTGCTTTTGTAAATACCATGAACTTGTTTTTCTTCAAATTGATTTTTAGTCCATAATCGTTGCAATATATATTTAGTTGTTCAGCAAGGTGTTGCAGTTCTTCTAGTGTTCCTGCCAGAAGGACGGTGTCGTCAGCATATCTTATGTTATTAAGTGGCTCACCGTTTATTATAAGGCTCTCACTGATCTCGGGAAGCGCTAATTCTGAGATGGCTTCACTGTATAAATTGAATAACAAGGGTGATAAAATACACCCTTGGCTGACCCCACGGCGAATCTGGATATCCTTGGTCAGTTCGTTTTCAACTTTCACTTTTGCTGTTTGATTCCAATAGAGGTTACAGATGATTCTAATGTCTCTAATGTATATGTTTTTATTTAATAAAATTTCTTTAAGTTGATTATGCTGCACTCTGTCAAATTTTAATTAGATATGGGCAAAATGGAGCTCCAGCTCATTTTGAGGTAAATGCTCGGGGTTATTTAGAAAAGATATTTCCAGGACGATGGATCGGTAGACGAGGTAGAATTGAATGGTCTCCACGTTCACCTTATTTCAATCCTAAAGATTATTTTTATTGGGGATACTTGAAAAATTCAGTTTACAAAACTAAACCAGCAAGTCTTGCAGAACTAAGGCAACGAAATATCGATGAATCTCAAATAAATTCTAGACAATCATGGAAGAATGTTGTAGACGCATTCTACAATCGATTAGGGTGCTGTCAACTCACAAATGGAGCACATTTGTGAGTTGATAGCACTTGATAAAGTAACCATTGTGTTAAAAAATGCTGTAATTTATTAATTGTTAGGTTTTAATGTAGTTAAAAATAGTTAGTATTAAAAAAATTATTGAGACAATTATTGTTCGTTGCCAGAGTTCTGTTTTATGTATTTAAGACCTTCCAGACTACATAAAATCATAAATGTTACATATGGTTGAACTCGTATTGAAAAGGAGATTCCAATAATGAGTGAATATACAAGGTGATGAATTTGAAAAACCAAAGTTACTAATAATATAAGAGAAACGGCAAATCTGGCAACACTGCAAATATAAATATGGAATCTTCGTATCCTAAAATAGGTGTACCTCAAATTTTGTATAATTATGTCTGGTAATTTACGAGATAATCGGCCGTTTACAGACTTTTGGGCCACTCTGTATATTATGCATGCTGTGGTGTATTGTGAGTAATTGCCTTGTTACTAAATAAAGTCAGCTTTATTGTCCGTACAAAGAATTGCTTCATATATATATAAACGACTGCGGTACGTGACTACTTAAGATACATAATATAAATTAAAAACTAGGCAATTTGTTTTGTGTAAAACTAATTGAGGTCGCTAGTTAAATCATTAGAGTAATAATTTAATAATAATAATAATAATAATATAAATTAAAAGATACTTTTCTTTTGGGATTGATATTTTTTTCTTTTGATAATTGGTATGTTGTCTGTCTCGCAGTTTTTCAAAGGCTGCCCCTGCTGAAAAAATTCGTCTTTGGATCTCGCATGTTTGGTTGTCCCTGCTGATTCTTATTCCATGACCCAAATACGTATATTTCTCCACTAGTTCTACCAACTTATCTTGAATAGTTAAATGGTTATTGGGGACCATATTTGCCATAAACTTAGTTTTGGTCAAGTTCATTCTGAGACTCATCTTCGATCATCTAAAGTTCAATTCATTTAACATATCTGTGGCTTCTCCTAAATTATCTCTAATAAGAACAATGTTATCTGCGACACGTAGATGGTTAAGCTTTTCGCCGTCTATTGTTACTCCTCTGTGGTCCCCATTGACCATCTTAAAGGCATACTCTAATGCCGTTACGAATAATTTCGGTGACAAGATATCTCCTTGCCTTATCCCACTTTTTATTTTTATTGGTCGGATTTTATCGGGTATCTTAACAGTTATATTGGAATTTTTGTAATTATTTAAAAAAGTTCACTATACCTATGGTCAATCCTGCTGTCATTTATTGCTTCTATAAGGCTGTCTATTTCGATCGTGTCGAATGCTTCATAAAGTTCTATGAAAGAGAGGACAAGAGTTTTGTTATATTCTATAGATTTTTCAATGAGTGTCTTTACTGTATGGAAGTGAACATTTGTACCATAATTTAAATAGAATCCTGCCTGCTATCTCGGTTGGTAGAAATGTAATTTTTTCTCCAATCTTGATCTCACTAACCTAGTGAAGAGCTTGTATATGTAGTTCAGGCTAATAGGTCTATAATTTTCTAGGTTCGTTCTATCTCATTTTTTATGCAGAAGGAGGGTTATAGCATTGTTCCATTCTTTGGGCACCTCTCTTTGCTGAAAGTATAGATTAAACAGTTTCCTTAATTTATTTAATAGCATATCTCCTCTATTCACGGTAGCTTCTATTACAATTCCATCCTCCCCTGGGGCTTTGTTATTTTCATTTTTCTTAATGCTTGTCGAATCTCATCTAGCATTATCTCTAGCATTAGTCCGGAACATTGATTCATGATCTTCTTTAAAATTTCTGTTTGTATTTCTGTTTGATTTTCTCGTTCCATGTAATTCCTCGTAAAACTCTTCGATGACCTGTATTAACTCGTCTCTACATGACATTATTTTATTTTGCTTGTGCAAAAAACCAAAAAAGTAGGGTAGAATGAGAAATATAAACAAAAGTTTGATTTGCTTCTATGACCTTTACGTCTTGCCTGTTATTGTATGCGATCAACTCGTTCACAACTAAAATAAGCTAAGCATATGAATTTATTTCAAATGAGAGACTTTTTTAAATTTATTTTCAGATTTGGACTTTGGACTTTTTTTACAGATTCTACGAATATAAGAGAATAAAGAACGGTACCACTTGCGATTAAGACTTCGATCATTTTGTACACATTTGTTGCAACATTTTCCGTGAAAATACAACTGTTCCACTTCAGAATCTCCACAAAAATTATTCACTTCTGTATGCTTGGGCCTTTTTTTAAGTTGACAAGTTGCTGGGCGTTTATTTTCTTTGGAATTATTCTTCTTAGAGTACTTTAAAAAACTACTAGATTTGCTTGTAGTATCTGATATATATTTTTCAGAAATTTTCGATTGCATCTAAAAACAATTTATTGAGTTCAGTTTGATTTTATAGACATATACATAATAGTGTTATATGAAGAGAGGCTTAGAATTAAAAGGATCCAAGTGTAATTTTACTAGTTTTGAGATATTTAAAGTTCTTTGGTTAATTAAAATTCCTGTACATTAACTACGGTCGTACATCGTATTATTTTATTATTAAAGGATCCGAAAATCATTAAACCAAAAGTTCACTTAGTTAGAACCCTTCTTATTCTGAACAGTCAACTAATTAATATCCGAACTAAAATATATCCTTATTATTTTTACTCGAAAAAGGTGACTTTTAAAAAATACCTTTATTAGTAAATTGGTTATTTGTAATATGAAATGAAACACTACAAAACAAACGGCAAAAATTTCTTTAACTCTACAGCAAGCCAGTTTCATTCATAATCAGAGTGCAACACTTGGATTCTGATATTGGTATCTTCCGGATTGTCGCCAAACTTAATTTGCTGCGATGCTAACTCCAACGTTTCAGTTTCTTCTAAGAGAACCTTCTTCAGAAACTTCATTGATGCTATTTATTTTCGATTTTTTTTGTGTTCATGGGAAAGGATGTTGTAAAGCTCGTGGTACACTGGCGAAATAAAATCTAGAAGTTTTTGAATATTGTCTCACTTAAATTTATTGATTTTTATCGGCTGAATACAAAAAAAAACCGCTTTCAAATGTATTCTCCATCGTGTTAGAACGCGTTCTAGTGGAAGTGGAACATTTGGAAGTATTTCTTACTTAGAACACGCTTAGAACACCAATCATTAAATGAGCGATATATCTTTCTGACGAATCAGTGGTTTCGTCAACACACATGTTGTAACAGAAATATTTTGCCTACCAAAGGGTTCATTAATACATGGGGTAGAAAATTGAGGGAAGAAACTATTGGGGGTGGAGATAAGGCAAGCAAAATAATCGCTACTTGTGTGAACGGCACTCAGGATTTGGTAGGAGAGCTGGGGTCGTGGATAAGTAAAACATAAGGGGGGTGGAATGGGGCAACTACAAAAAAAATAAAGGGGTACTTATCTCTTGGGATAAACAAAATAAAAATAAACAAGAAACACCTTAAGGAATTTAATATAGGGCGCCACTTGAGGTGCCTAATTACACCTATCACAACCACTAGTTGTAACTAGGAAAATAATTAGAAAACATCAAAAACATATCTTTTTCAAACTCAAAAAAAGGGTTAGTTCAAAAAAGAAATAAAATGTTAAGAAAACAAAATTCAACATTTATTTTTATGTCACCACAAACAGTTACAAAATGGAGAAATACAAAAGACAAAAACTTACGTGTCATCCGCTTACAAACTCCAGGAGTTGGAGATACTACATAATCTTACAAATTTACATATGGAGGTTAACCTTGTTTAAAAATTAAACAAACTATAACAGTCAAAAAAAATAATAAAAAACGAGCTGTCATAAGTTAACATTAAATTTCAAAAAAAAAACTAAACACACAAATTGACAGCTCAACTCATAACCTAAAATTTACAATTTTAAATGTAACAATTTTTAAATTTCAACGAAAGCAATTATTATTTTATAAAAAAATTGTCTGTCTTTACTTTAAATCTTGAACACAAAAAAAAACAGTTACCTTGATTTTCACTTAACAAAAAAACTTGTCACATCTCTGGAGTATTGACATCATCAGCGAAAACATCCATTGTGGGTTGGAACAGCAACATAAACAGGAACTAGACTTTTTAAACATCTTAAAATCTTCAAAAAACGAAACAGTGGTCACTCTTTCTAAGATGACATATTACATCGAGCGAAAACTCCACCAATTTTGGCAAATTATGCCGGTCACTTCATGACGGATAAAATTTCACGACTACTGCTACTTATTTCCACGAAATTGACCAAAAAAACAGAAGAACACAAATTCGATGGAGAATCTGTGGATCCATACCTCCTAACACTACGAAGGCCCGAGTATGAATCAATATCCACACCTCACTCTGCGAAGGCCCGAGTATGAATGACGAATTTAAAAATTCGATCTTAAATTGAAAATAAGACAAACGCTGACATAACAAAACACAACGAAATTAGAACGTAAATATCCTTTTGCGACGTATTTGAAATTATAACGCGGCTTCCAATGAACAATAAAACAAATTGCCGAGAAAGTTAAAATAAATAAACAACTTTAACATGGTTTACATTAACCTCCAGCAATGCTAAGACAAATATGCGTATTTCAAACTTGAAAGATACGAACTAACAAAAACGGAAAGAATTCCTCGTTTTAATTTTTTAAACATATATAAGGAGTTTTTAATATATTTCATTATACGAGGAGCTTTCAATATACTTCAAAGAATCAATGAAATTGAAAATGCTACAATGTAGAAGGGTTTAGATTGTTTTTCTTTAGAGTCCTTTCAGTTGAGAATATGTAATTTACAATATTTTCTTAAACAGAAGTTAAGTTTTCATTTGATAATTTTAAAAGGGGTGTATTGGAAGAGATTAATGCACGGCATATTAAAAGAATATCTTCTTCTTTTCTTTCTTTCGAACTTGATCGAAGAGACTTAGAAACCGAAGAAATATTGTTCTTCAGATTCAGTTTTGTCTTGTTTGGCTGAATGTGAGACAGTTAAGACATGTTCTATCTGAAATGTCTTTTGGCATGCAACTTGTAACAGATTTCATAATATGAAAAATAACTACAGATTGTATGTATTGGTATATGATTTGTTTGGACTGGACCAAAAGAATACGAGGTGGTAAATTGAGTTTATGTCTGGTCTGAAGCTATTTCTTGTAGTTGACAAAGTTCATGCCATCATTATGATTATCTTACTTTGTTTTAAAGTTGAAAATAAGTGAAGCTTTTGGTATAAAGTGATTTTCCTACCTAGTTTGAACTATGAATCACCGTTGATTTTTCAACACTGGTTTTCATATTTTTTTGCTGCTGCTGTAAGACTCAATATGATATACGTTTCATCCATTTAATTGAAACGACCATCCGCACCGTCTTGATTATAAATGATCTTTTTTTGGTACCTATCCTCTGTGGATGTTGGCAATCACGTTGGTTCATACAACTTTGTTGACAGCCACTCTAAATAGATGTATGGTAGTCATTCCTGCCCACTGTCTGATGTTCTTGAACCACGATGTCCTTCTTCGCCCTTGAGATCTTTTGCCATCTATCATGACTTTTAAAATTAGTTGAATTAGTTGATAATTTTCATTGCGCATCAGATGCTCTAAGTATGTCATCTTTCTGATTTTCACGATACGCATAATTTCCAGACTTTATTCATATGTTGGATCACGGCGTTATTTGTAGCATCATGGATATAGGAAATTCTGAGCATGCGGCGGTAGCACCACATTTCGAAGGCTTCTAATCGTTTGGATATTGCCGTCAAGGTCCAGGCTTCGACTCCATATAAAAGGGTAGAAAATACATAGCATCTTAAGATTCGTGTTTTTATATCAATTTTTAGGTGCATATTACATAAAATCTTCCTGAGGCGATTCAAGACAGCTCTCACCTTTTCTATACGACATCTTATTTCCTGTGAGTGGTCCCATTCCTTATTTAGGCTGCATCCAAGATATGTATTTGTGTCTACTATTTTCAAGGGTTCATTATTAGCTGTGAATTGGTGCTGTATTACGTCGTTTTTACTTACTACAAGAAGTTTGGTCTTCTTACAGTTTAATTTCATGCCATATTTGTCACAGGCTTCCACTACACGGTCTACTTATGTTTGCAGATCCTCCGCAATGTCAGCAATAAAAACCGTATCGTCGCATATCTTTAATTGTTTATGATTTCTATTACCAATGATTTTTATACCTTCTCTTAAACCAGGGGTCTCCAAACTTTCCAGCCTTAGGGCCATACTGATTACTCCAGTAAGTTCCGAGGGCCAAGATGGCAACACTGTATTTTATATATATTTTTTTATATTTTATTATTATTTATATATTTTCTATATTTCTGTATTTTATGTGTAATAGAATTTTGCTGAAGTGTGGATAATTTTTTGTAAAATAACGAATAATTAAATTTTTTGTAAGTGTGGTAAGCTGTCAACATTATTAAGTATGTCAAATATTCACCTATTTTTGATATATTTTAATTTAATACAAGGTAGACATAAACAAACAAAATATTTCCACCAGTGGAAATCTCCAATCTCTCCCGAGATTGTCCACTAATAACATATTTATTCTTTCTAATATTTTTCAACGCCATCGTTAGAAATTGTCACAAACACACTTAACTATCCGAAATAATAAGAAGTCTGAAAAATAATAGCCGCAAATCACTTAAGTGTTACGCACCTGATAACTGGGAGGAGACTAAAGACCCCACCTAAGTGGGACGAGTGAGAGGACGAAGCGATGACAATAGTGGCGTAACTACAAGTCAGTTCCTATGAAACTGTTGTGAAATAAAATAGGGCGTACCTCCTTAAAACAAGTTTGTGCGTGTAACAGTATTTTGATTTGATTTGAATTGTTGCTTTTGTGTGTGATTTAGTAGAATGGAAAAGAAGCGAAAAATTGATAGTGAATGCAGAAAATTCAAAGATCAGTGGAACATTCAGTATTTCGTAATTGAGTCCAGTAACAAGGCGCTATGTTTGATTTGCAATGAAAGCATAGCTGTTCTTAAAGAATATAACATGAAACGTCATTATGAAACAAAACATTCTCAAAATTACTCAAAATATACAGGAATTGTGCGGACAGAAAAATTCGAAGCTTTGAAGTGCGGATTGAAATCGCAGCAATCTTTATTTACAAAAGTCAAAACTGAAGAAGAGGCGGCAACTCGTGCCAGCTTTTGTGTGGCTCTTGAAATTGCAAAACGTGGAAAACCATTCACCGATAGAGAAATGATCAAGGAATGCATAATTGCAGTAGTCGAAGAAATGTGCCCTGAAAAGGTAAATTTATTAAAAACTGTCAGTATGTCAGCAAACACTGTGGCTCGAAGGGTAGAAAACATCGCTGAAAATATATCCTCTCAACTGTTCGACAAAAATGGACATGTTGAGTGGTTTTCTTTGGCCTTAGATGAGTCACCGGATGTGTCAGATACTGCTCAGGTGTTGATTTATATTAGAGGAGTAGATAAAAGCTATGAAGTGCACGAAGAACTTCCTTGATATGTATAGTATTCATGGCACAACTACTGGTACCGATATTTTTAAAGGAGTTGAAATGGCCATTATTAAAAAGAACCTTCGATGGAAAAACTTGAAATGTATTACAACTGATGGAGGCAAAAACATGAGTGGGAAAGATAAAGGAGTGGTCGCTCTTGCGTCAAAGGCTGTAGAAAATGACGGCGGCTCAAAACCATTAGTCTTACATTGTATCATTCATCAACAGTCTTTGTGCGGAAAATGTTTGGATATGTCTGACGTTCTGAAACCCGTCATATCAACTGTTAATTTCATCAGATCTTTTGGGTTGAATCACCGACAATTCCGACAATTTATTGCAGAGATTGGAGAAACAGACTTACCTTATCATACTGCCGTACGCTGGCTTAGTTGTGGGAAAGTCCTTCAGCGCTTTTTTGAACTTCGAGCAGTGATCGAAATTTTTTTGAATGAAAAGCACCGCCTTCTTACTGAATTACAAAACAACGCATGGCTATGGAAGTTAGCATTCTATGTTGATTTGACAAAACATGTGAACGAACTGAATTTGAGATTGTAAGGAGAAAACCAGCATCTTCCTGATTTATACACTAATATCAAGTCATTCCGGATGAAATTGATACTGTTTCAATCACAACTACGAAGTAAATGTTTTTTACATTTAAAACATGTGAAATATTCAGCCACACTACTGAGACTGAGTTTCCTATCGATTTGGCAATCGAAACTTTGAGTGCTTTGAAGATAAATTTTGATACTCGTTTCTCGGACTTTGATGCCATTGCGAATCAAATTAAGATTTTTCAGAATCCTTTTGATGCTGACATTGACACCCTAGCCCCAGAACTTCAAATGGAAATGATTGATCTTCAGTCTCATCTTTGTTGGAATTTTATAAGAGTCTTCCACTGACACAATTTGATAATTTGCATAAATTTGCTCGTCGGCTGTTTTCCGTTTTTGGTACTACTTATTTGTGTGAGAAAACCTTCTCCAAAATGAAGTACACAAAAAATGTATACAGATCTAAATTAACTGACGAGCATCTTAAATCTCTTTTATTAATTGGTACAAGTAAAATTAGTCCACAACTACAAACTATTGTCGGTGGAAAATCTCAATTACATACATCTCATTAGCATTTCATATGTCATGTTTGTTATAAGGTATGTGTTGTTCATTACTTACAATGTATAAAATGTTAGTTGGATTCATTTCAATAATTTGTTAGTTATTATATGTTGAAGTTAAATTGACTGCATAAATTATACATGTCTTTACTCATTACCATTCTGTGTTTCTTTATCCAACTTATCACAAACATTTTATTTGCTATAAAAAATATTTGTTCTCTAAAAGGAGTTTTCAAGTATGTCTCCGCGGGCCGGACAAAATCTGTCTGCGGGCCGGATGTGGCCCTCGGGCCGTAGTTTGGAGACCCCTGTCTTAAACCATTAATAGCTTCCCTGAATAGCAATTCCGAGTAAGTATTGAACAACGTCGATCACAAAATGCAGCCCTGACTCCCCGTTTTATCGTGAATACTTGTGAGGTTTTGTTGTCTACTCGTACAATTGCCCTTTGCTGTAAGTATTAATTTTTAATTAGGCGTAAATCTTTGTCATCAATACTAGACTCTTTTAGTATCTCAAATACTTTTTGATGTTGCACCTTGTCAAATGCTTTTTCAAAGTCTATAAAGCATGCAATTTACTTCTGAAGCTCTTTGTATAGATATTTTCATGGCCTCTCGCGTTCCCAGTCCGCTTCTAAACCCAAAATGAACACTGCTAATGCTTTTTCTAAGTGTTCCATATATGCCAGAGTGAATAACAGAAAGAAGGATTTTGAGTACATAGCTCATTAAGCTTATAATTCTATAATCAGAGTATCTGGTGGCATTTGCCTTTTTGGGGAGAGGGATGAAGGGGAAAACTAGCCAATCTGTAGGAAATTCTGCAGTTTCATAGATTTTATTCAGTAGACTCGTTAGGAGTTTGAGTTGGTTGTTTTCAAATAGTTTCAATATTTTAGCTTATATGTTATCAGGCCCAGATGATTTGTTGGTTTTTAGTCTTTTTATTGCATATATTTGTGGACAACGCTTGAACCATCTAAGGTACGCTGATGACATCGTATTGATAACCGATAAAAAAGAAGAATTATTTGAAATGATAAAAGAACTGGACGTAGAAGCTGGAAAGATAGGCCTTAATATGAATTACAGCAAGACCAAAACTATAACAAATACAGATGAAGACATCACAATGAGAATCGGACAAGATGAAATAGAACAAGTTAAGGATTATATATATCTTGGTCAAACTATAAAACTTAATAAAGAGAACCAAACAGCAGAGATCAAGAGACGAGTTAGACTGGCATGGGCGGCATTTGGCAAACTAAGCTACATTCTTAAAAACAAAAGATATTCACAGCATCTTAAGACCAAAGTATATAATCAATGCGTACTCCCTGTTCTTACTTATGGTTCCCAAACGTGGGACATCTACAAAAGCAAACATGGACAAAATCATAAAAACCCAAAGAGCAATGGAAAGACAAATATTGCACATAAGACTAATGGATAAGAAGAGAAACGAGTGAATAAGAGAGAAGACAAAAGTGAGGGATGTTAGACAAGAAGTTGCAAAATTGAAATGGAGATTTGCCGGACACAATATAAGACAAAAAGAAGACCGATGGAACAAAATTCTTATAAGTTGGAGACCGTGGGAATATAAACGAAGCAGAGGAAGGCCCCAAATGAGATGGGCAGATGATATCAAGAAGCACGTGGGCTCTAGATTGATGACTGTAGCGACAGGAAAAGGATTGGGGAGGCCTATGTCCAAAGATGGACCGAAGAAGGCTAATTAGATAGATCGATTACATATGTTACTTCACTGAGCGTTCTGGTCTTGAACACCTGAACACCTGTCTCTTGCTCTTCCTTGAATAATTCTTTCATATAATGCCTCCATCTCATATAAATGGTAGATGATATAAATAAAAAAATAAATAAATAAAACGGAAACTATGATTAGATTTTCTACACGGCTGCATCTGGTTAAACATGTAAAAACCTGATCTTATTAATGATGTTTTTCTGCTCTAGACTTGCATTGAATGGTGAATCTATTAGTTAGATTTTTCCTGTCAAAACTTATTATTTCAGGCCACATGTGCAAACACCTGCATCTAGCGACCTGCAATTCTGTGAAATTTAACACCATTAATCATATTTTTTTGTGTTTATACTTGGAAAACCTCAACTTAGCTGTTTCTCACGGATACATCTGGTTACAGGCGGTTTTGCGAGATTTGACCAATTTATGTCAAAATATCACCTAATTATTTATACACGTTGCTATATTTTACGATGAATCTGACGAATTATCTTCTTCCAAAAAGATGAATTTTGAGCTACTGCTCACCATATTCCGACTACCAACTATCCAAAATCGTGATCTTGATACAACGTAAGCCCCATCCATTATATATCCAAAATATTGAGATGTATTGAGATAAGAAGTTTATAAATTAAGTAATGTACATAAACATATATAATACTGCATATACATACCTGTTTGTATTCAGCCAAATTGAAATTAGAGCTATGCACATTATTAGAAAAAGCAAACATGACTGTTTGATCATTTTTTGGCAAACCAAGACATTCTGGCGGAATGTCATCAGTTGGACAACAGTTACAATTTTTTCTAGATGAATCTTTCTCGTCTTTTGTACATGTCTTGTATTTGATTCTACCAATAACCTCATAACTTCCCACTCTATCGTCTATTAAATTGCGACTTTCGTTCTCCAGTTTCTTATATTCGCAATGAGAGTCATGTTTTTCTAAAACACAAACTTCTAAAGCACAACCTTGACCGTGATATCTTGGGCTCAATAGGGGAAGCTGCAACAAAGCAGTCGAAGGAGCGTTAACTGAAGCGTCTTTACATTTTTCTTTTGAAATTGAAACATTTGTAGATTCGTTCTTTGTTGTGGATTCACCTGAAACCTATTAATAGTTGAATTAATGTAAGATTTCTATTTATACATAAATAAGCCATAGAACATAATTGAAACCTCAAATCGTAATTATCCCGAACTAATAATAATAGTCTCCCTTTATATGGCTAGCGCGGTTTAGTAATTCTGACCTGGTGGTCTGCTATCTATTAAAGCTATGGTATACAAGGAAGGTAATAGTTACTATAACGTTAGCTGTGACTCTAGAATGACCTCCGACTTTCGAGAAAATACGAGTAAAAACAGTGCATCGACTACAAAAATCCACAAAAACTTAAAAAACAGCTTCGGTTAACAAAAAAATTAAAAAATACTAACAAAAACCGAAGAAAGTCAACAAAACCAATTAACAAAACCCAAAAAAACCCTGGCACGAAGGGCCCAAACCCTAGAGTGTAAGTCGCCGAACTAGGCGTAGTACAGAGCGGAGACTTAAGGCCGGAGCAAGCTTAACCCATTCACTGCGTGTACCAGCTCCTTGACCATCTCAAGGAGCTGCACATGATTTTTTCAATAAAAACTCCATTTTAAATCAAATAGTTCACATAATTATTGCAAAAAGTATTACCATCTCTTTACAACGACTATTTAAATTCTTACGGGACATTTTTGAAATAAAACACACTAATTTTGTTCTAAAAAGAACAAGTGTCAACACCGCAACTGTCAAATAAATGTTACCAATTTATGTCAAAATATCACCTTCGTTCGATTACAGTTACAGTGTGTTCCGAACAAATGTTCTTCATAAAAACGCTTTATAATGCATTTATACAAATTAAATGAAATATATTATTATGTATTTTTTTAAGTTAAAATAAATATAAATTTTTAAATATTATTTCTACGCGTATATAATAAAATATGTCTAGTGGCTGTAATGCCAGTGTACTCGGCAAAGTGATTCTAAAAAAGAACACATCTACCGCCTAAATATTTCGTTTTGGTATCATGTCACCTCACGGGCTATAACGCGGATGACGTGCACCGGTAAGTAAATTAGATAAAGTATAGAAGCTTTTAATAAAATTGCCTTACAAATGTTAAGAAATGTGGCTCGGTCATTTGAATATCGGTTACAAACTTGTAAGGAAGACATTTTGAACATTAACTTTAGACTTAATATCACATTACTTGTTACATTTATTAGTTATTATGTGTTATTATTTTGGTTTGTATTTTTTGTTAGTTACTTATTAAATAAAAATAATTTTGTTATATACACTTCATCTAATTTATATAACGATGCACGTCATCGGCGTCATAGCCTGTGGCGTCACATGATACCAACACAAAATATTTAGGGTGTAGGTGTGTTCTTTTTTAGAACCACTTTACCGAGTACACTGACATTACAGCCACTAGACATATTTTATTATATACGCGTAGAAATCATATTTAAAAATTTCTATTAATGTTAACTTGAAGAAATACACAATAATATGTTTCATTTAATTTGTATAAATGCATTATAAAGCGTTTTTATCAAGAACATTTGTTCGGAACACACTGTAACTGTAATCGAACGAAGGTAAAATTTTGGCATAAATTGGTAACACTTATTTGACAGTTGCGGTGTTGACACTTTTTGTACTTCATTATTTTGAATTTTAAAGTGAATATCTCTTGATTTATATTTTTAACTATCTAATAAAATCTGTTCTTTTTAGAACAAAATTAGTGTGTTTTATTTCAAAAACGTCACGTAAGAATTTAAATATTTACGTTGTAAAGAGATGGTAATACTTTTGCAATAATTATGTAATCTATTTGATTTAAAATGGAGTCAGGATTTTTTTATACTTTGGCAACTATGTCAACTTCGATCTCTGACGTAGATAATGACGTAAGTCGTTATCTAAATTAGATGAAGTATATCTCAATACCCACTACTTATTTCTACTTTCAAAAATTGAATGTATTTCCTTAATTTGAAGGAAAACTAAAAATATCCCGGAAATTAATGAGTTCAGGTAAAGGGAACTCTATTTAAAATTAAAGAGTATCATAAATACAATATTTCTAAAAAATAAAATATAGGGTCACCTATTTAAAGAAATCGAGAAAATCGTAATTTTGTTTTGTAGTTCACTTGTCAATGATTTCAATTAAACTTAATTTAAAAACTGCAATGTATTGTTTACTTTATTATATAAAACAAATAATTGTTTATTTATTACTTTTTTATAATTATAGTGTTGATTTTATAAGGATTTCGAAATAAAAATGGTCATAACTTGTTAAAAACTTTGTATAGTAATACCATTGTTTAAAAAATAAATGAAATAATGGTATACAATAGTAATACAAAATCCTATACTATAAGGACAAGAATTATGAGAGAAATACAAATTTGAAAAAAAATGTAGGGTGTTCCATTTAAAAAATTGTATGTTCGCTATACCATGTAGTTATTATTCACCCTGTAGAATTCCACATATTAAGAGGTTTTATTTATGTGTAAGTCCCAAATTTCGACGGACAATCGTCATGGGATAACTTTATGAAACATTTCGAATCAGCTGCAAGAGCGAATGAATGGTCCGAAAAAGAAAAGCGTGTAAACCTGACTATTGCTCTTCGAGGACATGCCTTGAATGTATCTATAGTCACGAACACTTGGAGCTTGTCTACCAGTCACAGTTCAGAAGTGAAGACAAAGAAGAGATGAGACTTCAAAAATATCAGGTAGATATTGTCAGATTGTATAGGAAACTTATTAAGAACAAAATAGAAAATGACTATAGAGATTACGAAGCAGAAGAGCAAGCTGGTTTTAGAGCTGGGCGATCCACAGTAGACCACCTGTACTCTATTACGCAAGTTATTGAGAAAAAAACAGCCGTCAATAAAGAAGTTCACCTGGTGTACGTAGACTTACAAAAAGCATATGACAGTGTACCCCTAAGTAAACTATGGTCAATCCTACAGCAAACCAACATTAAGCATGGTCTTATCAAAGCAGTCCAAAGTCTGTATAATGGAACGACTGCAAAAATTAAAACTGGATCAAGGATATCTGAAGGATTTAAGGTCACGAAAGGACTAAAGCAGGGTTGCTGTATTTCGCCTACCCTTTTTAAAATTTATCTGGAACAAGCACTTAAGCTATGGAAAAGAAAATGTAATGGCATGGGAATCCCTCTCAATGACTAGACTACACTGTACACCTTATGTTTCGCTGATGACCAAATACTGATTGCCCAGGATCATGACGACTTGAGTTACATGACTCGAAAGCTAATTGAACAATATAACAAATGGGGTCTCGAAGTCAACATTAAGAAAACTGAAGCCATGTGTACTGGAGGGACAAAACAATCCTTTATATTAGACGATGGGGTAGAAATTAGAAACTGTGAGGAATACAAGTACTTGGGTATGAAGATAACTCAAGATGGAACACTCGATGCTGCTATAAAAGACAGAAACATACAGGGTAGAAAAGCCATATCCATGATGAACGGCATTCTGTGGGACCAAACAATATCTAAAGCGAACAAACAACTCATATACAACACCATACTTAAAAGTGTAATCACATATGGCAGTGAAGTTTGGCCAATGAAACAAAGAACAGAGAAACTGTTACTAGCAACAGAAATGGACTTCTGGAGAAGAGCAGCAGGCAAATCAAGAAGAGATCGGATACCAAATAAGAGAATACGAGAAATGATGGGGGTCAAGCATACAATAGTTGATGACATAAAAACAAAACAGTTAATATGGTACGGCCATGTACAGAGAATGCCAGATGACAGGATTCCAAAACAGATTTTGATGTGGACACCACAAGGGAGAAGGAAAAGAGGAAGACCGAGAAGAAGCTGGAGAGAGGGAATTGAAAAAGAACTAGAGGAAAGAGAAATCCCTTCAGACCTATGGTTGAATAGAGAAGAATGGCGGTTAGTAGTCGGAAGGAGAACGCTGTAAACCGATAGCAGTAGTAGTAGTAGTAGTAGATATTGCCAGGTTAATGCGATATGCTTATCCTCCAGCTCCTAAAACATGATAGAAAACTTGGCTGTTTAAACATTTATTGAATGTCTTCTTATGACATGCAAAGAATACTGCGATTAGCTCGTCACAAGGCGCTGGTCGATTTTTCAAATATGAATCAGCTAGGCACGAATACAGTAAAGTTAGGACTGTATCAAAGGAAGAAAATGAAGACAAATTTGACCAGCTTGTTAATCTGGTAAAATGTATTGCTTTTAAGAACAAGAAGATCATAATAAGCAATATTCTGAGGGGACAACAGTACATCAGAACCAGCTGGTGGCATTCGAACGAGACCACGTCGTAGATAAAGAAGTGGAAGTAAACCAAGTCAAAGTGTGTTAGTATTGTAAGAAGACTTTAAATAAATTAAAATACAAATTCATTACAATAGAATAATAAACTGACAGTAACAATGTAGACAAAAGAGAGTTGTTATGAATTGTCCTAAAAAGGTTAGAGTTGATCTCTGACTGTCATTTCAAAAAATTTGTAAACATCAAAACACTATATATAAATATGGATTATATTTAGAAGAAAGCGACCTGTTTCGTCCAAATTCTGTTTAATTACTGTTGGTTTTAATTACGTGACGGAATTCACAAACTATACTTACAATATCAGTACTTGTAATATCGAAAATCTTTTCACTAGGCGAAGTATGGGACGAAATTTTGCTTTTAGAGGGTTCTGGAAGTTTTGGACTTGAAATTGGTGTCACTTTTAGACATTTATCGCACGGTAGTTCTTGCTGGCTGCTAATTGTTGATAAAATTACCGTTTCCTATAAATAGTATTTAGTTACTGTTGGGTTTGATCACACGATGAAATTTTTATACTAATTCTCATACTATACTTACAACTTCAGTGCTTGTTGTCTCTAAAATTTTACCACTAGTCAAAATATGGGCCGAAATTTTACTTCTAGAGTGTTCTGACAGTTTTGGGGTTGAAATAGGTATCGTTTTCAGTCGTTTATCGTATGTCAATTCTTGCTCGGTGCTTATTGTTGATAAAATTGCAGGGGCGAGTTTAGTAACATGTCGGTTCTTGCAGGCAGTGACAGTGATGACGATAGGTTTGTTTCTATGAGCTTTACCACAAATGCAAACATTGTTTGGCATGACACGTAAATTTTACAATAATTTGACATTTTCAATATTTTAACAACTGAGACGTTTGTCAAATGTCACCGTTTTGTCGACATTTTTTGAAACAAAGCTTATTTTCTAATTTTTATATCATGTCAGTAGACCAATCAACGTGAGCCGATTTTTAGGCGATTTTATGCAGCATTTGAGGCTAAAAAATTTTCATTATCATCAAAAGTTTGACGGTTCTTGTATTTCTGGGGAACAAGATACTGATACGCCACGAGCGAGGGGAGTAGGCAGTATAAAATGACTAAGTTCTTCCCGAGAACTTAGCAATTTTCATATATATAATAAAAATCTGGATATTAATTTAAAATTCTTTACCAGAATATCTTTTTGCCAGAAAAATCGAAATTATTGAATAAACATATTTCGAATAAACAAGTAAACTGGTTAAAGGATACTTTGAAAGAAATGCGCGAGGGACTTCAATTTATTATAGCATTAAATAAAAGTGATCTAATTGCTAACTTAAAACTATCATCATTGAATTTACAAAACAGTACAGAACAATATTATCAGAATTTCAAAAATTAATACAAATGATATGTTTTAAATGATATACATTTTATAAAAAATTTTGGTAACTCTCAACAAGCTATCAGGAAACTTACTAATGGTAAAATACATAAAAATAATGACACTGACAATTCCAAACTTATGGCAAATAGTTTTAATAACCACTTCTGATCTACTGCTGGGAAAGTAATAACTGAACTTAAGGTTTAAAAATATGTGTCTAACCTCTAAAAACTTTGGTAAATTAATTAATATGTAATAATACTTATCCTTGAGTTTTTAAAATTGCAAAGGTAATCTTCTCTTCTTCTTCAGCCTGTATTCGTTCACTGCTGGATATACGCCTCTTCCATTTGCTTCCATTGATCTCTACTCTTGGTAATTCTCATACATTGCTTGCCCGCGACTTGTTTGATATCACCTGCCCACCTTTTCTGTAGTCTGCTTACTCCCTGTATGCGCCTTTTTAGTTTGGCTATTTAGTTTTCTTTGATATATAGTGATCTACATTTTCAAGACCGACGTTGTCAATAACAATATTAGTTTGTAAATTACTCATTATTTTTGTTTTCTAAAGGTTCATTTTAAGGCCTATTTTATTTGACTGCTGAATTAGTTCGTTTGCTGAATGTTTAGACCTTTTTGCTTCCAGTCAAGCTGTTTGAATACATTTTCCAATGCTAAGGTAAAAATCTTTGGTGAAATAGTATCACCTTGTCTAATACCTTTACCGAGACGCATTTTTTTAGTTTTTTCATCGTCATTGATTTTGATGTTGAATATGGCCTGTTCATAAATGTTTTTAATAAGTGTATTATACCGTAAGTCTATTCGAGTATCCTTCAGTGCGGGCAAAAAGTACCAAGTTTCTATACTATCGAAAGCCTTATGAAAGTCAATAAATATGTAGAGGTACATTATATTCTGTGGTTTTTTACGACTGGTTGATATAAATCAAGTTTTTGTATTATGCGGTTAATTATTATTCTTATTAGCAAATTGTAGGCCGTCCGCACATGGGTCGATCGAAGGCACGCGTCTAAGTTCATGCGTCGTGCTCGTCTTATACGAACCCTGCTGTACGAGCGATTGTTCACCGCACACTAGTCGATTCAGTTTGCTGTTTGCTAACATCTGCCAACCAGGAAGAACGCATTTTTTATATATACATATTGGCATATTCTTTCAATGTATAATTAAACAATTTAATTTTTACACTTCTCCAAACGAATTTTATATTAGACACCTAGAAACAGAAATTCAATGTTTTCAGAATTTTATATTACAAATAATATATTTCTACAAATCTAGTAGTACTACAAACAACGAACATAATATTCGTCGATCTTAAAAAAATTAGTTTAGGGCAAAAAACTATAAAAAACGAAGAAAGCAAATACAATAATCTGTGACGGCTAGCTCACCCATTGCACATTGAAACCCCTCAGGGGTGATGTTCGGCATAAACTAATTTAATTTGAGAAATCGGGAATTATTAATAAAATAATTTCTTTAACACATGTCTTTATTTATTTATATTTTAATAAATCAAAATGTAATAACAATTAAATTGAGGTTCTAACAACAGGGAATTAAGCATCTATATACAAAATCTCAAGAAATAATGAAACTTAGCTCTACTCTATGAGAAATCCTCCTGCTGTTCTCTTCTCAACTCGGACCATACAATGTCTGCAAAAACCATGCCGCTAAGCCGAAACCAATCCCTCTCCAATCCAAAGCCATGCGGATTTTCAAAATCGAGATGGATTTCTTATTAAAAAAAAACAATTCCATTTTCGTATTCTTCGACCAAACAATCCATGTCAACGTAAATTTTCTTATATCATAATCAAGGTGGATTTTCTTGACTAAAAATCAAGGTGGATTCTCTTGAATAAAAACCAAGGTGGATTCTCTTGAATAAAAACCAAGGTGGCTAGAAAAACAAAAAACCGCTGCAAAATTCGTCATGGCACGAGTTTTGTCCAAGATCAGAAGAATTCTGGGAAGCGGAAAGCTCTTTTCTCTGAGACCTGTATACCGATCTAGAAATCTCTGATGTTGCCAAAACTCACAAATTAATAATTGTAATTAATAGATAAATTATTAAATGAAAAATGAAAAAGACAAAGTTGTGCGATAAATACGATTTATATTGAATTATTATTATTACAGCAAAGGTAAAAAGAAAATAAAAATTGTAAGCAGTTTTAAGTACTAGCGTACACAAAATTATATGAAAAACTAAAAATGTTCTTGATTAAAGTATGAAAATATGTTGTTGTAAAAAGAGCAAAGTGTTAACTTACCCAGACCGTTGGAAGTTTCTGACCACGAGGACTTATTTTTTTAATAATACCTTCTCGTTTGCTGGTTTATTTAAAAAAGAAATTAAATCGGATCTGATTGATAGAAGTAAATTATTTAGGACTAGGGTTTCTGTTTCTTGTACGTCTAAAGTAAGCAAAGGTAGGACTACGAGGGGACTTAAATTAATCAGCGGATTTATTTGTAATAGGAAAATATTGAAATAAAATATAGGAATACAAACAAAGGAAAAATAACTTATTATCAATGAAAATCAAATAGTATGAGCAGAAAATAGTGGAAAGTACTTTGAAATTAATAAGAACAAAAATGTAACGTTTTAAACGTTACAAATCTTATCCCCATGACTGAAAACGTGCGTCTCACTCGAACTTTCTCATGCGCTACCGATCGCATGTGACGAGAGTCGTACAAGATGAGGAGATTTGCAATTCGAGACGACCACTAATCGCCCCGTCTGCGGAGCTCAATACAACAACGAAAGAACTTGAGCGGTGGGGAGAGACCTACGCGATTGAAATCGAGTCGACCACTTCGAGCGTCGACCCATGTGCGGATGGCCCAAATGTAACAACAAACTTATAAGTCTGTAGTTTTCAATATTAGTAGTGTCTCCTTTCTTGTGTAAAAGTATTATTTATATTCTTTTTTCTGTTAAACACTTATTTAACAAAACTTCCACAACCTTCACAACGATGTTGCCGCCCATTTTTAACATTTCAGACGTTATACGATCCTCACTAGGAGCTTTCCTATTTTTAATTTGCTGTAAGGCATGTTTAATTTCCGAAGAATTTATTTTAGGGAGAGTTTCCGAGCCGACGTTTAGAATTGTTCTATGGTCTGTTGCGTCTGTTCTACTGTATAGTAGATGTATACAGATTCTCATAGAAAGTTTGTATTTCCTTGATTATTTGAGATTTTTCCGGCACCGTATTCTTCTGTTGGTTTTTAATTTTAGTTATCTTTGATTTTCCTTTAGTAAAATTTGATTTCAATACTCTCATGTTTCTATCGTTTTCGATGGTTTGCAATATTTGTTTTGTTTGATAGGCTCGCAAGTCTGACCTTATGCTCTTTATAACTTTATTGTTCATAGCCTTATACTCCGGTGATTCTTTCGATGTTCTTTCTGTTTCTTCCATTAAATCCAGTGTTGTTTGTTTCAATTTCGTTTTTCTCGGATTTTTATTTTTATTACAGATCTTTTTTGCATTTGAGGTCCTAGTCTCTTTTTTAGTTTATTTTGATATTCCTCTTGATTCATTTCGAGTACTTCTATGTTTGGTAATTTATCCTGTGTAAATAATTTTCTTCTATCGAATTTCGTATTTACTTCTATTCGCACCCTAACTAATCAATCATCACTACCAGCGTTGACAGAATTTAATACAGTAACATCTTTAGCAATGTTTTTGAAGTTAGAGAGTATAAAGTCAATTTTATTTTTTACTTTGCCGTCTGGGCTGTGCTACATCCATTTTCTCTGCTTCTTTTTCTTTTAGGATGTGTTAAGCAGAATAGTTTTTCTTCAGTTTAGTTCAGAGGAAATTTGCGAGCATATTTCCCCTGTGATTTCTACTTCCCAGTCCAAAATTTCCAATATATTCGTTCTGAAGCTATTTTCTTGTGGCATTGTAAATTAATTACTATTAAACTGGGAATAAGCCACAATTAAAGATAAAATAATATATTTAATAATCCAGTTTAATAGTAATTAATATATTCGTTGTCGTTGTTATTTTCATTCTTTCCTATTTTAGCGTTGAAATATTCCGTTATTATTACGTAATATGTTTTCTCCAAGTTTATGGCTCTTGTAATGTCTTCATATAGTTGTTCTACCTCTTCATCATCTGCAGAAGAAGTTTGTGCTTAACATTGGATTATTTGAATGCTGTATCTACGATTTAGTTTTATTACCAGATAGATAACTCTATTAAAAATCGCTTGGAATTTAGTTATCAAGTTTTCAATTCTCTTATGTACCAAAAAGCCTACACCCCCTATACCTTGGTTATTTCCTGAATTGTATTAGTACAAAGTGTGCTCTGATTTTAGTAGAGTCGTTTCTTCGACTTTAAGCCTTGTCTCGCATAAGGCGAGATGGGCATAAAACCCATCAGCCTACTGTCACACCTGTTTAAAATACTCACCAAAGTCATAAC